GGGCGGGCAGCAAGCAGCCGCGCGTCGGGCTGGGCACACCCTAAACCCTAAACCCTAAGCCCTAACCCTAAACCCTAAACCCTAAACCCTAAGCCCCAACCCTAAACCCTAAACCCTAAACTCCTAAGCCCAAGGTAAACCCCAAGGCCTAAACCCTAAACCCTGAACCCCCAAATCCCCCAAATCCCCTAAACCTTAAACCCTGAACCCTAAACTTAAACCCCCATATAAGCCTCTAAGCCCTAGGCCCGAAACCCTAAGCCGAAGCCCTAAGCCCCAAACCCCAAACCCTAAACCCTGAACTCCTGAACTCCTGAACTCTAAACCCTAAACCCTCCCTAAACCCTAAACCTTAAGTCCTTGGTCCTTAAGCCTGGGCCCAGGCCTAAGCCCTAAGCCGTAAGCCCTAGCTAATAACTAATAACTAATAATAACTTACTACTAATGACTACTTAATTAATAGCCTAAGGGCTTAGGGCTTGGGGCTTAAGGTTTAGGGTTTAGGCTTAGGGCCTTTGGCCTTAGGGTTTAGGGCTTAGGCTTAGGCATAGGGCCTTAGGGCTTTGGGTTTAAGGGTTAGGGCTTGGGGCTTAGGGCTTAGGCTTGGGGTTTAGGGCTTAGGCCTCGGGCCTTAGGCCTTAGTGCTAAGGGTTTAGGATTCAGGGATTAGGGTTCAGGGTTGAGGGCTTAAGGCTTAGGGCTTAGGGCTTGGGGTTTGGGGCTTAGGTGGCTTAGGGTTTAGGGCTTAGGCCTTAGGGCTTTGGGTGCGGTTCAGGGTTTAGGGTTTGGGGTTTCGGGCTAAGCCCTAAGCCCTAAGCCCTAAGCCCTAAGCCCTAAGCCCTAAGCTAAGCCTTAAGGCCCTAGGCCTGAGCCTACGCCTAAGCCCTAAACCTCAAGCCCGAAGCCCTAAGCTCTGAACCTTAAACCCTAAACCCTAAACGAAACCCTAAACCCTAGGCCTAAACCCTAAGCCCCAAACCCTAAGCCCTGAACCCAGGACCCTAAACCCCAAAGCCTAGGGCCTAAGCTTAAGCCCTAAGCCCTTTTTGATTTTTGGTTTGGTTGCTTGGTTTGAAGCTAGGATGCGATTGCAGGATGTGGCCTCTGTTTCGGCACACGAGCCGGAACACTGGCTTAAGCCACATGCATGTCCTCAACGGCATTTGTTGCGGTTGTGCCATCTGAGACCATCTGTGACATGAAACGAGGATGACGTATGGTTTTTTGACAAGTTGATAAGACCCTAAACCCCGAACCCCTAAGCTAAACCCTAAGCCTAAGCCTAGCCTAAACCCATCCGGACTGCGGTTCTTGCTGCGTCACTACATTTACATGGCATGCATGTAGGCTGGGTTCCCGATTCCGAGCATGTTGAAGAGTTGAGGGGCTGACCGCATGCATTGATGAGTTGTGAACATGTTCGGGTCTTGAGTGTCACAAGAGTCACAAGCGACACGACATCCTAAATCGCGGCAGTTGCATGATTTGGTGATCATGGCACCTGGCATGAGTCGTGACTCGTGCAAACACATCCGCATGGGTTTTCTGTTTGCTAGGGTCTTTCCCCCTCTAAAGCGTCCTCCCCCCCTCTCTCTCTCTCTCTGTGTCGTCTCTCAACCGTATGGCATCGTTTGCAAAGCATGCTTGCACTTCAACCCTCTGAGGAGCTCAGGGTTTAGTGATTGATTTCTTTCATTTCATTGGTTCATTGACAATTCATTGATTACAATTACAAATAATGGTACAGTCCCTAGGTGCTTGTTGGCTTTTTGAACTTGTTGGTCTGGGGTTTCAGCTGCCCTAAGCCCTAAGCCTAAGGCCCTAAGCCTCAAGCCCTAAGCCTAAGCCCTAGCCTAAACCCCAAACCCTAAACCCTAAACCCTAGACGGCCCTAAACCCTGAATTAAACCTTCGGTTGTAAGGCTAATAGACTAATAGACTCATAGACACTCATAGACTCATAGTCATAGTCATGGACTCATTGACTCATAGACTCATATGACTCATATGACTCATATGCTCATATGCCTCCCATATTCACATATGGACTCATACTTTTTTTCATTCAATAAATCAATAAATCATACATGAAGCATAGCCTCATAGACCCTGGCCCAGGTGGAAAATGGGGCCAATGGGCCAATGGGAGTCTGCGTGGCCGCAGTGCAAAAGTTTTAGCAAAAGTGCTAGTTCCAGTCCCGAGTCCATGTTTTGACGTGCGGCCTGTGAAGCATTTGCATGTTTTGGTTGGTTTATACGGATTATACGTTAGGCTCAAGTGCAGTCTTGGGGCAGTGGTTGCAACTGGGGACTTCGGTCCTCCCACAGCTTGTAGGTTTTTGTGCTGTTGCTGGCAATGGCCAGCAGCAGCAGCAGTTCGACTAGCCCTGCCAGGGGCAAGAAGAGAAACAGGCCGGACGACGAGGCCCGGTCTTTGTTCGGAGGTGGCGGATCTCTAAGGTCCCAAGGCAGCCGACAGTCGCTTGCAAGCTCCCTTAGGGACGAGTCGATTCCGATCGACCACTCAATCTCCAAGCCTTGCAAGTGTGGTTTCTGCGGCTTGTTGTCGTCGGATCCTTCACCGATAGTGACAGAAGATCCAGAGGCAGAGGATGACAAGGTGCCTTGGGGCAAATACCGCAAGGTAGAGACCGCCTCAGGCGTGGTACGTGTCCCGGTCGGCACACATGATGCAATTTGCAGGAATGTGTACCGGCTGCTCGGGTACCAGCACAAGCACGGAGCACACTCCAACTACCTGAAGAAGCTCGAGGCCAAAACGATTGACCACAATCCCTTTCTTGCTGGTCGATCAGACTATGTCAAGAAGTGCAACAAGAACGGTGTGCCAAAGAGGTTTTGCAAGAAAGATCAGCAAGAACTCAAGGCCGCCACCACACTCACAACCGTGAGCCAGGGAGGGGTCCGGTTCGAAGCTCCGGAGATGACTCTTGTGGATGTAGCTGACTGGTCGCCTAGCTACGGAGAGTTGGACGAGAGTAAGATCGTGGAAGAAACGATCAATGGGAAGACAGTTAGAGGGATCTACATCATGACTGGCAAGAAAGGCCACTACAAAGTTCGCAACTATGACGACAGAGCCCATCGCACAGAGACAGAGGAGCATTCCCGCAAGGATTCCAGAGAGATGTTTGCGGAGCAGGCACTGCAGAACAAGGCAGAGGCTGTGACCGCTGCCTTTCTGGAAGGTCAGAAAGATCGCGAAGCCCATGCAGTCGCTGCAAAGATCATGGACGCCGAGGGCATCTTGGCCATGCTTGCCAGTGGGGCCTTTGGCAGCACCAGTGCGAGTACTGCAGCTTCGCCTTCGGCCTCTGGCCTGGGAACAGAGAAGAACGAAGCGACAGAAGAGGCCGATGAGGGCATGATCTCTGACGAGTCGAACAGCGACGATGGAGGAGCTGCTGCAGCTCGCTTGTCGGCTTTGAACAAGAAAGCCAAGGCAAAGACCAAGGCTGCAGCGAAGCCCGACACAGCAGCCAAAAGCTCTGCTGCCAAGGCCAAGCCTGCAGGCAGCAACGTGTCGCTTCCAGACTTGTCATCATCCAAAGTTTCGAAGAAAGTGACAGTGGTGGAACAGGCACCGGACAGAGAGCAGCAAGGTGATACTTTGAATCTAGATGGGCGGGGCATCAGGTTGCGGGAAGCTTTGCGATCAGAGCTTCAGCAGTTGAAAGCAAAGTTCGAGCCTCTTTGTGCCTTTGGTGACGACTACAACTTCACCGACAAGAAACAGCATGGAAGCAGACACAAGGCTTTGACCGCTGTGCTGAATGGTGCCCTTGGTCAAATCAAGAGAATCGAGAGCAGTGCAAACAAGGCGTCATTTCTTGCAATGCTCAAAGAGGTGATCTCGGTGGCGATCGACTTCAACAATGCCTTGAACTCGGCCACGTCGGTGCCGAAGGTTTTGGAAGAGGGCTATGAGGCGCTCATGCCGTACAACATTCGGGTTGGGCCTTGCTTTTGGTTCAAGATGCTCGAGACCAAGCTCTCCGAGCAGATCCAATTCCGGAACCTCAAAGCGTACGTTGCAGCTCTGGCGCCCGACAGCACCGAGGCAAGTTCAAGTGGGCTGAGTTTAGGGATCTAGGTTGGATAGGCTTAGGCGGGTAAGGGCTTAGGGTTAAGTTTAGTGGACCATTAGTGGATTTAGTGGTTTAGGCGGTTTCGGGGTTTAGGATTTAGAGGTTTAGGCATTTAAGGTGATGTTAAGGCTAGGGGATGATTTGGGCTTAGGCGTTCAGGCGATTTAGGTTTAGGGGCTTAGGGGTGTCGGGGTTTAGGATGCAGGAGTTTAGGCTTAGGGCTCGAGGGTTGGGATTTGGACTATTTATTATTTATTATGTATACTGTAATAATAAGACCTCTGGAAATCACTAATCACCCTAAGGCTTCAAACCTTAGTAATATTATTAGTAACCCTAACTTAGCCTATTCAGACAGTCAATCCGTAAATCCAGCTAAAAAGTGGAAGTGCCGATTACAACTTCAAACCTGTATCCTGTACCTGTATCCTTAAACCTCAGCTCCGAACCTTCCCTTGATCGCAGGCCGAGGCGATCAAGTCTTTTGACAAGACGGACGACTTGCGTGACTTTGTTCACACAGACGTCGAGACCAGGATGACTTCGTTCTTGTCCAGCGACGATGTGTTGAAGCCAGGGTCGTGGGGCCGGGAACAGGTAGCCACTTTGGCTTCGGAGATTTGCAGTGCGTATGATGATGGGAATGACCTTCTCTCAGAAGTGGTCTTCACCGCCAAGCTGCTCAGGGATTTGTTACAGGTCTCTGACCTTGGCGCCATGAGCTCTGCTTTGGAAGAGTTGCAGAAGGCAGAAGGGAGTCAGGTCCTTGAGGACGGCGTCGTTCTGTTCCTCCAGAAGCACAAAATCGGCATGGCCCTGATTGCCGAATGCAGTAAAAAAGTGGAAGAAGGTCAAACTCAACTCAAGGGCGAACTCTTCGTGTCGAACTTGCAGCAGAGTCTCAGCGAGGTGGCCGAGATTGAAAGCGAGATGACGGGATCAGCCATCACCGAGACGGTCAGCCGTTTCTGGGCTATGTCCTCGACTGGCGGCAAGGACGGCAAGGCCGAGAAGCAGCTGCTGCAGAAGCACAGGCAGCCGGCGCTCTTTCTGACTAATTTAATTTATTTGTTCATTGATATTATATTATACTATATTAGTAAATAGTAAATAGTCAACAATTTCATCTAGTGCCCTTGTCGTGGTAGCAACCTGCCCTGAGGCTGACGGTGGAAATGCTGGTGAAGGACTTTTGGCGGCTGGTGGAGTCAGGTGTCCACACCATGATGTCACGCACGCCGCTGACATGCCTCGAGTCGGTTTCGGAGGAAGTGCTGTCACAGCAAGGCCAAGGCAAAGGTGATCACGATCCAAATTTCGATTTGAATGACATCTTGAAGCACATGGCATGCGGTCAGATCCTCCAGCACGAATTTTGGTCCGAAGTTGGCAAGGCTTTGCCAGCCAGTCTCAAAAAAGACATGGAGCGCTACTCTTCGCTGGTCTCTGACCTTGATGGACTCATCAGGTTTGTGTTTGGCACACACAAGATCGGCACAACCCGTGTGCCCGATCCAACTTCTGATGAACTCAAGAAGTGGACTTCGTGTGACGTTCTGCTCCGTGCCTACGACCCAGATGGACAAGCCGTCGAGAACTTGAAGGACATGTTCGTGAAAATCGCCGCCGACACGCTTCACGAGAAGTCCATAGCCGCTTTTCGTTCAGTGGGTAGCATGGTGCAGGGCTGCATCGCTTCGGTTTCAGACCTGGACAGAATGGCTACCTCTCTGCAGGCTGTGAAGGAGCACACCATGCTCGGAAAGGATGGCCCCTGGTCTTCGATCCTGTCTTCCTTGCTCGAGGTGGGGTGGGGGCGGTGCGGGGGATCGTGTGTAATCTCGGTTAGCCTCAGATGTCTCGATCTTTGAACGGTTTGCTATGTTCAATGATGTCAATGTCACTGTCAATGATTAGTCAATGATCCATTCAGTCATTCATTCATTCATGATCCATGCAATGCTGCTGGTATCTAGAGCCGTGGAAATACACTGTCGGCGGCCCGTGTCATGTCACATGTCTCTTCCTCGTCAGGTCGCCAAAGAAACAGGCAATGCTGTTCTTAAAGACGCCAGTTTCGGTGATATCTTGGCTGCAGCTGAAGCCCAGAACAAGTGCATGCAGCATGTCAGAGCCGCAGCAGCAGGAGACCAGGCCAAGGACCCAAGGTTTGTTGCCACAAGTCTGGGCTCGCCAGAGTTTCAGGACTGGCTTGTGAAGCTGGGGGCATCACTGGTTTCAAAGCTCGTGGTTCGAAGCTCGCCCTTTTTCGACGAAGTTGCCGAAACACTGGCAAGGAGTCAAAAGCTGTTCAAGGATTTGCCAACGTTCGCACTCGGAACGGAAGCGGAGTACAGGGAGGCAATGTCGGGGCATCATAAGAGTTTTGCTTCACTTGGAACAAAGCTCCGGCAGCTGGCCCAGGAAGCTGCACAATGCAAGAAAGCAATGGAGGCGGCCTTTAAGCCTGGTGACTCCGACGATGCTTCGGCTTCTAGCATGGTTCGTTTGAAGCTATGCTCGGATCAAGCAACTGCCTTCGGACAATGCATGGTCACACACCTGACGGTGTTTGCCACTGTGACCTTGCTCCGAAGTCCAGTCATCGGAGCGAAGAGCGACGCAGGGAAGAAGGTGGCAAAGAATTTGCAAGACTTGCTTCGCGCCCTGTTGGAGAAGGATTTGCCAGCGACCCCAGCCCACGAACAACTTCCCAAGGACCAGGCCGTGAAGCTGTGCAAGGACAGCGCGGAAGCGGCCGTGGCCTCAGATTAACTTAAAACTTATAGACTTACCTGTAGATAAAATATAATAGCTTCTAGACTTATAGACTTATAGACTTATAGAACTTATAGATAGACTTATAGAATAATGGTCTTGTATCTCGAGCACGCTTCGCTTCAGGTGAAGGCCACGTTGGGTAAGTGCAGTTTCGACGTCGCCGAGAAGTTGGTAAAGGTCGAGGAAGCCAGCAAGACGTTGACAGATCTCGAAGAGTTGTTGGCAAGGAGGGCGACAACAACAACAGCAACAACGTCTCCGACGGTGGCGCCTGAATCTGACCTCCCCCCAGCCTCGGCAAGTGTCCCTGACGAGCAGGCGGAGGTCCAAGTCCAAGCTCCAGGTGAAGGCCGTGTTGACGAGGACAAGCAGGCGGAGGTGCAAGCTCCAGATGAGGTTGATAACGACCGTGTTCCTGAGGCAACCGCCACACCCGGTGCCGACACTCAGCAATGTTTCCAACCCCTCAGCCCGAGAACTGAGGGTGTTTTGCTTGATGCTTTGGAAAAGGACCTCTACCGCGAGGACCCGCAGCCGGGCCGTGTGCCACCTCCACAGCCAGTCACGTACGCCGAAGAGGCCAAAGAGAGCAAGCAGCACGAGGAGGAGAAGGGAGACCTCTCGGAGGCTGGAGAGGGGCCAGTTGGCGAGGCCAACCATGGAGACTCCACAGAGCCAGCAGCTTCCGACCAGGAGAAAGAGGAAGAGGAAGAGGAACAGCGTCACGGAGCTAAGCCAGGCAAGGCACCAGAGCCAAAGACCAAGCCGAGAGTGACAGGAGATAAAGAAGTTAAAGAGTCAGAGGATGTCGGCAAGAAGAAGCAAGAGCAGAAGGACAAAAAAGTCACCCAGAAGAAGGACAAAAAGAAGGAGGACGACAAGGAGAAGGAAAAGACAAAGTCGAAGAAGAAGGACAAGAGTGACAAGAAGAAGGGTAAAAAGAAGGAGGAGGAGGAAGCCTCGCCAGCGGATGCAGCACCCGCTTCTGCATCAGCTGCAAAGTCGGGAAAGCCCAACCATCCGAAGAAACGCAAGCAGGAATCTGAGGCAGATGAAGAGGAAGAGGCTGCAGAAGCTGACAAGGCGACCTCCGCCAAGGGTCGGGGTCGAGGTAGAGGTGGTGCCCGGGGCAAAGGCGGCCGCTCGGCTGACAAGCCCCAGGGCAAAGAGACGAAGGTGAAGGATATCGACGTGAAGAGCAAAGCAAGCTTGGCATCGCTCTTTGGCAAGAAGAAGAAGTAAGGGCCCGTAGCCGGGCTTGCGGCCTCCGGCCTGGCAGTCCCTTTGACAAGATCTGATTCGAGGTTTGTTTGAGAGAAGCTGGAAAGTGCTTAGCAGCCTTTGGTGTACTGTATAGCCTGTATAGCTATAGCCTGTGTGCCTGTGTAGCCTGTATAGTGTATAGCTTAGCTGCCTAGCCTTCAGCTTTGATTACTTCAAAGACTCTTGCTGCTGTCTCAACCGCCCATAGAGTAGGGACTAAGGCCATAGGGCCGTAAACCATGGACCATGGACTGTTAAGACTTAAGACTAGTTTCAAATTAAATCAATAAACAATGACAATAAATTCCCTTGAGTCTTGAGCTTAGCTTCAGTTCAGTCAACTTGGCACTCGGTCTTTGACCTCGCTCTTTTCACCCACCGTGCAGCCAGAGCGCATGGCTGTAAAAAGACCGCGAGCTGTGCTTATGCCGCAGTGTCGCTGTGCGGTCACATGTCACATGTCACATGTCAGTCGGTGCCAGCATCTTGAACCTTGAATCTTGTCTCGAATCTTGAGGGCTGGAAAGGCTTGAAGACTTGAAGACTTGATACCTTGTCCCTGCTAGGTCGCAATTGTTGGCTTTGAGTGGATCGTAGTACGTAGTAACTTGCAACTTCTGGCTGGACTGCACAACAGCTGCAGGACAGGAGTGCTGCGGGTTGCGGTGTCAATGTCAATGTCCCGCCCCTTGAAGCCCAGGGCGACGATTGATCCTGACAGTGTAGAGCGATGGATGGAAAAAGGGCGTGAAAGAGAGATCTCCGCAGAATCTTTGCGGGACGGCACATGGCTGATCCAGGCTGCAGCAGAGAATGCCAGGACTTGTGTTGACATGGCTGGACGCCCTCTTTTCCCAACTCGGTCTCTGACCTGGGGTTCTTGCTGCAGTGGGTCAGAAGGAGTGCGGTTTTGTTTCGAGGCCTTGAGTCTGCTTGCACGCAAACTGGGGTCCAACGTGACTTTTGAGCACCTCTTCAGTTGTGAAAGCAATCCCGAGAAGATGCAGTGGATTTCCGCTGTCACCCAGCTGGCTGGTGAAGTCACAGCTTCCATCGCAGAGGACTCTTCCACAGGTGACCGTCCGCCTGAGCCTTGCCTTTTCTGTGACATTTGCGAGCTTGGACGTCCCCATGCGGCATGTGCGGCCCACAAGGGCAATGGGGTCTCTCACCACGTCCACGGATCGGAGAACAAGATCGACGAGGTCTCTGACCGTGACAAGCTTCCTGAAGGTCATTGCTATGTGCCTCAAGTCGACATCCTCGTGTTGGGCACCAGCTGCAAGGACATGAGCCGAGCCAACCATCCCAAGTCCTCTGCCCGAGGAGGTTCTCAGAACTCCCAGTCGCTGGTTTTGAGCATGGAATCCTCGAAAGGAGGCTCGGCGCAAACCTTCCGAGGGATGTTGGCGTATTGCGAGAAGAGCAGCCCGGCCATCGTGATTTTCGAAAATGTGGATGCTATAGATGACCGCCAGGGTGGCAGCAGCAATCTCGACATCCTCTTGGCCGATGCTATGCTGAGCCAAGCCAATAGCCAATTGCCAATATGCCAATAGGCAAATAGACAGACCAGTTTAGGCAGTTTAGGTTTAGGCGGCGGTTTAGGCTTAGGGTTTAGGGTTGTTATAAGTAGTTGTTAGTAATTAGTAATTAGTTATTAGTTTTTGTTAAGTTATTAAATTAGATAAGATACAGTTTACAGACTTATAGACTATAGAGTTGGTTCTTGCTGGGCTGGACGGGTGCATGCAGTAAGGAGATGGGGAACCGCGGCTACGAGAGCCAGGTCATCATGACCGATGCGGCAATGATGGGGCTTCCAGCCAGGAGACGACGAGTCTACATCGTGTTTCTGAAGATAGCTGGCAACTCGCTCGTGGAGTTTGGCGGCTCGAGATCAGTCTCATCGATGTTTACCACGCTGCGTGCTGTTATGTGCAGCTGCTTGCGCAGTCCATGCTGTGCTACCAAGATTTTCTTGCCCGCGAAAGATCCGTCGACGGTGGCCGAGCTGGAAAATCGCAGGTCAAAGCGAGAGAAGGCCACTGAGGCGACCAAGAAGGGCTTGCCGCAACCTCAGACTTGGATGGACCAGCATCTCGCTTTTGCCAAGTCCTTGAAGTTTCGTTGGGGCCAGGCCATTCCGGAGGGTCTGAGGGAGAACGCATGGTTTCTAACCTTGACTGAACGGGAGAAGGATGCTTTGCGCCTGGCGAGGGTCCAGAATCCAGCCTTGCTTTTCCGAGACCTGTCTCAGTCCGTTGCACGGGTCAACAGCAACACAGCAAACGAAGAAGGCCACATCCTCCCGACACTTCTTCCGAAGATGTTGCTGTGGTGCGAGAAGGAGGCCCGGATCATGCTTGGTCGCGAGGCTTTGATGTGCCAAGGCTTTCCAGCGTTGCCATTCTTGGCAGCTCTGGATAAGCAGCGGCCTCAGGCCGGGACCTCAAGTGCAGATCGGCCTCCGGCCTGGTACCCAGGAGAAATTCTCATGGCAGACCTCGCCGGCAATGCTATGGCATTGCCCGTGGTTTTGGCCATCCTCCAGTCCACGTTTGTGGCCTTGTCTTGGAAGGAGGAGGCAGCAGATTCGCCGCCACGCCTACGCAGAACCAGAGCGATCAGGGACGAGGCCATCGTTTGCTTTGATTTTTCCGTAGCATTGTCAGTGTGTGTAGTAGCTAGTAGTAGTCTGTCAGATCTATCAGTGAGTCAGTGAGTCTATCGCCTATAGACGATTGCCGTTTCAAAATCTGCCATCATGCTGCTTGTCAGGACATCGACGAGGCGCTTTCCGCAGTCGAGCAGCTCTCGGAGCCTGTCCCTGCACGGGCATGTCCGAGCAGCAGCTCATCCCAGCTCCAAGAGCGCATCTTGAAACGAGCTCGGTTAGCGACAAAGTTGCAACGGTGATATTCTCAGAACTTACAGGCGTCATCTCAGACTTAGACTTCGACTTGAGCCGCAAGCGGGTGGTGAAAAACAACTACGCAAGACCTGCGACAGTGACTGTCCCTCTTCTCTTGCTGTGCACCCGTTCACAGAGTCCTACAGCCTACAGCCCTGGAGTCCCGAGCACACGAGACAAGCCTGGTTACAAACAGCATTCAAAATATTTTGGAGCTTTCGTATGGATTTGAAACAGTATTTTAAATATTTTTTGTTAAAAATGTTTTACACCGAAAAGGTTTTTAAACAATTTTCTTCGAAAATGTTTTTAATTAATATGCTTGTTTTTTCTGTTCACATGCATGTGTCAATGTGTCCTGGATAGCTCAAACCCACAGGCCTTTTAAAAACACCCAAGTTACTTCTTAGGAGAAACAATCAAT